ATTCTCCTGCCTCAGCCTCCCAAGTAGCTGGGATTATAGGCATGCGCCACCACACCCAGCTAATTTTTGTATTTTTAGTAGAGATGGGGTTTTACCATGTTGGTCAGGCTGGTCTGTAACTCCTGACCTCAGGGGATCCGCCCACCTCGGCCTCCTGAAGTGCTGGGATTACAGGCGTGAATCACCATGCTTGGCTCAAACTGCCTCTCTAGATCCCTTTCTTTCTGCTCTATTCCCAGGTTCAGTCACATGCATAATTTATGCCAAGGGGCTTCTGAAACCAGTTTCCTCCTGGCAGAGTGGCAGAGGAGGGACAAGTTTTAGTACAGTGGAAGATGAACAGTATGGAAGGTGAAATTCGCTGGTGTCGTTTGTCTTGTGGCTCCGGCTGCACACCTGGTGTTGTGGCTCACAAGTAGAAAGGTGCTTTTTTCTCTGTTTGCAGAGTGATCATTGCCCATATTTAGATTTTTAAAAAAGGAATCACTAAAGTCTTTAGGATAATTAACTCCCACTTAAGAGAGAGACCAAATAAGCCTCTGCCTCAGTAATCAAAGGACATTCTCAGAACCTAAATGTTTTGAGAACATCCTGACTTACGTTCATTATTTGGTTAATTCTTTTATTCTTTTTTATTTTTTTGGGTATTAGTTAGAAAAGTCACTATGTTGGGTTTATTTTGAAAGGGAATGTAGTATGATGAGTTAGAACGTGGGTTCTGACATTAGAAGCCCTGAACTCCAATCCTAGTGAGATTCCAATCCTAGTGAGCTCCACTCCACTTATAGTTATGTGACATCAAACAATTATGTGTCTCTGAGGGTTGCCATTTTCTGATCTGTAAAAGGAGGAGAGGGTTGTTGTGAGGAGTACCTGAGAGAATACATATAAAAACTAAGAGTGCCTGGCACAGAGGAGGAACTCCATATACACTAATGTGCATCCGCTTATTTCTGATACCAGTAGTCAGAGATCATTGACATCTGTGATATTGTCATCTCGCACATGCCTTTTGGAAAGGAGACTCAGTCGTCTGAAAATAGAGAGTTTTCTGAATATGGCCTGTTACTTCCAACCTATCTAACACATCAACACAAACACTTAGATGTACCCATGTGTATAATTTCAAATGTCCACATGTCGTGGAAATTGGAGTGAATACTTTTATCAATATTATGGACTTTTTTTTTTTTTTTAGACAGGGTCTTGCTCTGTTGCCCAGGCTGGAATACAGTGGCAGAATCTCGGCTCCCTGCAACCTCCGCCTCCTAGGTTCAAGTGATGCTTGTGCCTCAGCCACCCAAGTAGCAGGGATTACAGGCATGTTGTCACCACGCCTGGCTAATTTTTTGTATTTTTAGTAGTGAATGGGTTTCGCCATGTTGGCCAAGCTGAGCACTCCTGACCTCAAGTGAATCCCACCTGCCTCAGCCTCCCAAAGTGCTGGGATTACTAGCATAAGCCACCGCGTCCTGCCAATACTATAGACTTTTTAATGAATAGATCCATGTTTATAAACAGATTAGAAATTACATTTCATTGTTTAAAAATACAGGACAAATTATAAGGCATGCAGCAAATTTTTGTTAAGTTTGATGCTGTTTTTTTTTTTTTTTTGAGACAGAGTCTTGCACTGTCACCAGGCTGGAGTGCAATGGCGTGATTTCGGCTCACTGCAACCTCCGCCTCCCAGGATCAAGCGATTCTCCTGCCTCAGCCTCCTGAGTAGCTGGGATTACAAGCACCTGCCACTGTGCCTGGCTAATTTTTTGTATTTTTAGTAGAGACGAGGTTTCACCGTGTTGGCCAGGCTGGTCTTGAACTCCTGACCTCGTGATCTGCCCACCTCAGCCTCCCAAAGTGTTGGGATTACAGGCGTGAGCCACCTTGCCTGGCACTTGATGCTGTTTTACATCTGCAATCAGAAAATATAAGTAGTAAGTTAGGGATATTAGTAGTGAGTAACTTAGTAGTGAATGAATTAGGGAGTAAGTAGTTGGTGAGTTGGACACTTCACTTTGGTGAAGGCAGCTGCTGTCTGAACAAAGGCCATCTTTCAGTGGGTGCCGGTGAACTAACCTCCCTTCCAGCCTCCTTTTCCTTGGCTGTGGACCCTTGTGTGTCTTGCCTTGCTTCCCTTCCGAGTGAGGTTCCCGAGGGATGCTGGAGGGAGGGAGGAGCTACCTGGAGGCGAAAGTGAGTCCCTGCCTGTATCCACCGGGAGATGCACCATTAGCTCCCTTGGCTTTTCTAAGGATGCATGCTTCAGGGGCAGTTTCCACACAGGCCTGGCCTCTTCACTTATTTCTGGTTCTGACTCAGGGTGTAGAGCACCTAGGAGACAGAGAAGAGACCAAGTTGTAGCAGGGGTCTGTTGTTTTTGCCTAATGTCTCTTCTTTTGGGGACCTATCCCTCCCCTGCTCACACCATGTGGTTTGGGTGGAGCAGTGTCCACTTGCTGATTCCAGAGAGGGGCATGGAACTGAAGCCTGGCATGAGTACCTCATTGCCTTAGCCACAGAGATTGCTTCCGAGGTGGGCACATGACCCAAGCCCAGTCAATCGGGTGATTTCTGCACTTTGCAAGAGCTTTTAAGAGGCATATCCTTTCTATAAAGGTTAACAGGAAGGAAATTAGCATGGAATTGCAAGAAGACATCTTTATCACCTGATTGTAAGAGCCTGCTTGAGAGGAAAAACTAACAGAGTTGAGAGACAAGTATTGCACACATATTTTCCGAGGCCTGAATTCAGCTGGTCCTGCAGTTACCTGATTCTTGCATGAACAAATTCATTCATTCCTTCCTTCCTTCCTTCCTTCCTTCCTTCCTTCCTTCCTGTTTTCCTCCCTTCCTCCCTTCCTTCCCCCTCTCCTCCTCTCCTCTCCTTCTTCCCTTCCTTCCTTCCCTTCCTTCCCTGTCTCCCTTCCCATCCCTTTCCTCCCTCCCCTCTCTCCCTCTCTCTTTCCCCTCCCTCCCCCCTCCTTCCTCCCTCCCTTCCTGTCTTCCTCCCTTCCATCTTTCCTTCCATTTTTCCCTTTCCTTTCCTTTGTTTTTGCTTAACACAATTTTAGTTAGGCTTCTGATGCTTTTTAAATGAGAGTCCTCATGACATGTAAATGAGGGAAGAACTCCATGGATTCACTTTTCCCCCCCGCCGCTCTGTTGCCCAGGCTGAAGTGCAGTGGCACAATCTTGGCTTACTGCAGCCTCCACCTCCCAGGTTCAAGCAGTTCTCTGCCTCAGCCTCCCAAGTAGCTGGGATTACAGGCGCCTGCCACCACGCCTGGCTAAGTTTTTCGCATTTTTAGGAGAGATGGGGTTTCACCATCTTGGCCAGGCTGATCTTGAACTCCTGACCCCATGATCCACCTGCCTCAGCCTCCCAAAGTGCTGGGATTACAGGCGTGAGCCACTGCGCCCAGCTGGATTCACTTTCTTTGTACCCAATTCCTATGTTTCATTGTCAGTGTGTTGGCAAGCTCAGTGCATCTGGCTTTAAGAATCTGGTTCATGATGGCCTGGTGTTTTTCCTTACCTTCCTATCAGGGTCATCATGGAAAATAATGAGATCTAACCCAATCTTATGAATAGTCTTATCTCTCTTTGTATTATCTTTTTATTCTGATGCTTTGACATCTGGGACCTGACTGTCCCTCCCAGGGCTGGCCGATTCCTAGAGACAGTAAATGACATACCTGGGAACATATTTGTCATATGCACTCCAACCAACCCAGAGTTCCTAACCCCCAGCGCCCTCTTTTATCGAACTCTTACATTCCCAGGCTACTATACACCTGCTGTAATGATCAGAGGACCAGTACCAGACAGCAAGGGACAGCCCCTATGCAATAGAGCTGGCTGAATGATGCAAACTAGACAATTCTAAATCTGCTTAGCTTGCTTGCTCTGCCTTGTCCATATTCCTTCTACAAAAACCACAGTACAACGTCTTGCCTGTGCTCCCTGCCTTCTGCCTCCTGGAGGCTGTTGCACCCCCATGTGGCCCTGCATGGTGTGGCATGCCTCCTCCTCTTGGGAGCTGTGAGTAACAAACTAACTTTTCAGTGCCAACTGTCTCCTTATCTCTTGGCCTCACCACACCTGAATAATAAGACCTACATTTAAAAACAGTGTGTTGTTGATTTTTTTTTTTAAGGAGTGGAGTAATTTTTTTTGGTAAAGTAAAATCTACATATAGTGAATTGTACAGATCTTAAGTGTACAGTTCAATGAGTTTTGACAAATGTATAATCTGCAAAACCAACTCAGAGTGAGAACATTTTTATCACCCCAGAAATTTCCTTCATGCCCCCTTCCATTGGTCTTTTAAGTTCGACCGTTAGGTGTTCTTTTTTCAAGTGAGAAGTCCAAACAGCTTTAGAACAAAATGGCTGTCTGGTGTGATTCTTAGGAATCAAACTCTCTAAGAAGCCAGTGACAGTCTCTAGAAAACTCAGACTAGAACCCCTGTCAAAACTAGGATACCTTTTCCCTCAGAGATTCCAGAGAAGTCCCCAGAGCAAGAATGTGTCTTAAACAAGAGTACTGTGGAATGACAGGAAGGTCAGAGTTTCTCCTTGCGACACAGGGTGAGAAGTCACTCAGAAGCCTCCCCTAAAAAGCCCACATCCCCAATTGGAATTGATATCCCTTGCTCATATTCTCTTAGAACTTCACTTAGAAGCACATAATCTCTGCCCTAGCAAAGATTGTAGAGGTCATCCCTTATATAATAACCTAATTCAAAATCAGAAAAATGACTTTTTAGATGAACTTTTATCTTTCTTTTATAAAATGAAGATGCAAAGATTTTCAAGTGTCCTTTTTACCTTGGCTGCCAGGAAACTCAGCTAAATCCAGTGCTTACTTCAAACCATGAATTCATCTCAGATATCTGATAACATCTATTTCTCTACTCCTTTTGACCACTTTTTTTCGATGTCAATTTTAGTTGTCTTGTTTTATATATTTAGTTTTTTGTAAGCTGCCTGAAAAATTCTTGCCCTTTTATAACACCTATGGTGTGTTGGACTTATTTATGTATATACCTGTCTTCCTTTCTCTTCCACAGCTTAATAAAATATATTGCTTAATGAAGGGTACAATAAATATTTTAAAAATCCAATTGAATATGATCAGAAGAGATCTTCTAGATTTTATCCTTTTTCCTTCTTTAAAAATTATTCTCTGAAGGGGATGACCACAGGGAAGGTCAGCCATGATGTAGGAACATGTAGAATTGGCAGGACCCCCCCCATCCCAGGCTCTCAGGAGCATCCATTCACGCGGGACCTACCTCTTCTGTGGGCTTTTTCTTTTAGGGAGTGTCGGGTGTGGTAATGAATCTCCACTGGGAAGATGAAGAGCTCTGTTGGGGGCTCATTGGTTTTAAATTGGCTCTTCAGGGGCTCCAAGACTCTGGGTGATTCTTCTGAGATAGGAGGTAATTTCAAAGCCTTTGGTGCCTGGAGAAAATTTAAAAACAAAACGAACATGGCAGGTATCCAAACCCTGCTGCCTGCAGGGGCAAATGATACTGTCTCTTATTGTATCTTTTGCACCAGGAGCTGCTGAGAGAGGTAAGCTAATCCAACTGGGAGCCGGTATCTGACTTCAGTGGTGCCACTCGGTCTCCTGGGATCCAGCATATGCTCCTGTTAGTCCTGACTGGGATTCATCTGAGAATTATAAACATGCTCAGTTTAAGGGCCTTTGGGAGGATATATAGTCTTTCTTTTTCTTGCAGCTGGGGAAACTGAGCCAGACTAAAATGACATAGCTGAGACCTCTTTGTACTGATTGGGAGAAATCTCAGCATATGTTGTTAAGGGACAAAGCAAGGTGCAGAACATTGTTTGAGCAAGGTTTCCCCTAAGAAGGGGCAGGAAAGAGCATTTGTAATTGCTGACCTTATCTAAGCTCTCTAAGCCACAATTTCTTCCCCTGTAAAATAGGAGTAATCATACTATCTACCTCATAAGGTTGTTGTAAGGATTAATGAACTAATATATACAATTATAATATGTTCGAAACTAGGATTATTTCCTTATTTCTTTGAGAATAGACTCTCCTCTCATTAGCATTTAGCCACTAGCAGAAAAATTGAGGCTTTTTCATACTTATCGAATATGAATATAACTGACAAAGAATTGCTGTGTGTCAGAATCAGCAACTAATTTGGTCCAGTCTTTTTTCTGCCCCCCAAAAGTGTGTGTGTGTCTGTGTGTGTATGAGGGATTCACTGGGGTAGTAGTAAGAGACTCCTGTTTCCAGTTATTCGGAGGTTGCTGAAGATTTCTCCTTTTAGTTTGCAACTTTTAACATATGAAGTTGGCTCTACGAAATGTATACATGTGCTAGTTTCAGGAGTTCAGTTTCATAGGAGGAAAAATAAAAGCATCAGGCCTGCTGTTTGCTCCTGGTCCAAAGAAATCTGGGAAGTCAGATACCCTTCTGGTATCTCCTTTTTAGTACTCAAAAAGAAAAAATAAGATCAGAAGCATACATAAGCAACCTATGTATTTAGAGTTGATTGAGGAAGGAAATTCAGCCAAATCTATGCAGGCTAATATTTATAATTTTGAGACATTAAGAAAATGATTAACCAAACACACGCACATAGGATCTTTATGTTCCTGGAGACCTTCACTGTCCAGGTGCCGGCTGCCCACCAACTGCCCTCTTTTGAATACTGACCTTGTGCATTTTGTTTGACAAGGTTTGCATTGAGAAATCAATGTGGAAACTCAAATGATTTGTGTGAGGTATGGCTGACAAGCCAAGACTTAATTTCTTTATCCTAATTAAAAATTTACAGAGTTTTAATATGGTGGAAAATATTGCCTTCCTCTATGAAACCATATGCATGGGTTGAGGGAAGGAACTCCTTTCCTCTTTGCCTGGCTCAGTTTTGGGCTGACCCAGGAGTGAAGTTGAGGGCTTTCCTTGAGCTTGTGGTGAGCTTGGTAGGTCAGGCCTGCTGTTCCCTTCTGCACCAAAGGAACCTGGGAAGACGAGGCCTTTCTGGTGTGGATGGAAAGGTTTAGATGAATGCAGAGACAGAAAATCTGAGAAAATCTTGAACAGACTGTAAACAACCTCCCTCACTGGTACCAGGACCACCTGGAGTGCCCATGGCTGCTTCAGGGCCACTTCAGATGACATGAATCCCTACCATTAATCAACATTGCTGTAGATCACAGTCAGATACAACATGCTTTTCTAAAAGCACCTCATCTCTTCTCATCCTTCTACTATCCCTGAAAGGTTGACATCATTATCTGTATACACAGATAAAGTCACTGTGCTCAGAGCATGTGAGTGACCTGCTCACGTTCCCATAGCTACTATGGGCAGAACATTCTGGATCCCTTGCTTGTCCCCATTTATCATTGTGCCTCCAAACACTGAATAAAGACCCACATAGAACTGCAAGGCAGGACCGGGCCAGAGACAGACAAGGACATCTCTAAAAAAGAAGGTGTAATTGGCCCCTGAAGGAGGTTGATAAACTTGGAAAATTTCCCCTGCATTTTCAAAGGTGGTAGACCTTCAGTAGAGCCAAACTGCTGCTCGTTTCAAGATCTCCAGCATTTTGAATCTGAAGGGGGTTTACTGCTTATAAACTCAGATTCTGTTCTTTGATACGTTTACAGATAATCCCCAGCCCCTTAAGAAATCAAAGGATTCTGTTGCGGCTAGGGAGTGTCGTAATAACACATGCTTTAAGGTAGAATTGGTGGCAGCTGAAATTCCTTGCGCTTCACGATTTTCAACCTTTATTAAATTACTACAGCTCTATCCCAGCTCCACCTGGTGAGCTCAGATGCTAGAGAGGCCAATTCTTTCTTGAGACATTCTTTTGAGTCACCTTATTTCTAGGTTGGGATTAACCTCTCTCTCTCCCTGTCCCTGTCTCTCTCTCGTGTATGCACAAACATACATATACGTACAACCTTTTTCTTCTTCGCTTCTCCAGGGGTGTTTATTCCGGAGCCAGTGGCAGTTACTACAGGAGGGAAGAGGCATCTTTCAGCAGGAAGCTCCTGTAACAAGTGGCCGATTCTGACCTTGTGGAGTTTCACGTTCCTTTGTTTATCTTTAAACACAAGATGAGAATGAGAATGTATTAATTGCAGGTATGGGGATGAATGTTGAGTTTTGACTTTTATCACGTTGTGGTTAATGGGGAGAAAGGCAGGGAGAGTGCTGGGGCACTGGGACAGCCCTAGCTTTGAGGGAGGCAGGTTCAGGGAGTCTCAGTCTCCTGATCTGGGTTGAATACTTGTTGGCTGAGTCAGGTGGTGAAGAGAATGATGACAATAATAATTAATATGTATTGAGCTCTAAATATGGGGAAAGAATTAGGTAGAATATTTCATATACATTAACTCAATTTCCACAATAGCTTTATGGGGTTATTATTATCCCCATTCTACAGATGAGAAAACTGAGCATCAGCAACATTGGTTAATATGCCCACAATCACAACTGTAAGTGGGGGTAACTTGAGCCCAGACAGTGTGATTTCTGAATAACGCAGCTAAGCACTAGGCAAAGAGGTGCCTGCCAGAGTCTCATTCCCATGTCCAGCTAGATTCTGGCTTTTCTCTTTTTTTATTTTGAGAGAGAGTTTCACTCTTGTTGCCCAGGCTGGAGTGCAATGACGCAATCTCAGCGCACTGCAACCTCTGCCTTCTGGGTTCAAGTGATTCTCCTGCCTAAACCTCCTGAGTATGTTGGACTACAGGCATGAGCCACCTCACCTGGATAATTTTGTATTTTTAGTAAATACAGGGTTTCTCCATGTTAGGCTGGTCTTAAACTCCCAGCCTAAGGTGATCTGCCCACTGTGGCCTCCCAAAGTGCTGGGATTACAGGAATGAGCCACTGCGCCTGTCCTGGCTTTTATTTTCTAAGGTGAGTGGCACAAGGAAGTGATGTTCGGGGTGCCTCAGTGTCCTCAAATGAACTCTGCATGACTGGATTCACCCAGATCAATGAGCAAGATATTTGGGCTCTTACCACTGAGATCTGGCTTCCTATTGGGGAAGGCGCCTCCACAGAAGGTAATGTGTGATTTGTCTCTCGGGAGCCAAGGGTGATCCATGTGGCCATGCCCAAAGGCCTTCCTGAAGGTTTGCTGTGTCTTTTCATTGTAGCTTTCCTTTGAAGCATGTAAACGAAGGTGATGCTCTATTGACGTGTCCTAGGGAACAACAGATACACATTCCTGTAAACAGGCTGTCATAAAGGGGCAGAGCAGGTTTCTTTAACAGTTAAGTCCTTGTAGCTAAGCTTGTGGTTTCAAGGATGAAATTTATTTTGCAGATTGGGAAGAAAAATAAGGTTATAACAGCAAGCTCCCTGATGCTGTTTATTACAATAAAACATTTTATTATTAATGATAGAATGATACTTAGCCATGTCTGACAGATAGTGCTATCTTGTGAAAAAAATTAAAAGATTTTGATTAAAAAATCAAAATAAAGTGCTAGTATTGGTGTCTTCATCCATCATGAAATGTTTCTCAGGCTGAAGGCAGTGGCTCACACTTCTAATCCTAGCAATTTGGGAGGCCGAGGCAGGAGGACTGCTTGAGCTCAGGAGTTTGAGACCAGCCTATGCAACATAGTGAGACCCCATCTCTACAAAAATTTTTTTAAAAAATTAGCCAGTCATGGCGGCACAAACCTGTAGTCCCAGCTGCTCAGGGAGCTGAGGCAGGAGAATTGCTTGAGCCCAGGAGGTCAAGGCTGCAGTGAACTGTGCTAGTGCCTCTGCACTCCAGCCTGGGCAACAGAGCAAGATCCTGCCACCCTCCCCCTCCAAAGGAAGAAGTGTTTCTTCCCTCTGCCTTTCCATTCTGTGGCTCTTGTTCTCCTTGGCATATAATCTTCTCGTAAATCAAATGAGTTTATTCAGGATGGGAGCAGATGTCTATGTTGCTCTGAACAATTGTTACCTTGTACACACAACACACCCCACCTTAGAGTTTAGAAAGTGTTTCTACGTTGTAACTCATTTAATCCTCACAATAATCTTGTGAGACATATGATAATAGCTCCATTTTACAGAAGAGGTTAACTCAGGCTCAAAGTTATGATTCTTGGACAGGCTCATCACAACTAGCAAAAAGCAGGACCCAAACCAAGGCTTTTCTGAGTTGAAGGCAATAGCTGTTTTCCAAACAAGATTAACAGCTGCCAAGATGGGCAAAGAGTCAGGGGAGAATCTGTGGTTACATAAGTTTGGAAAACCTAGAGTTTAACCAAGTTAAGCTGGTGACTATGTTACAGAGCTTCTTGAAGCCCTCTGTATCTAACTACCCATGTGACTTTCCAGGAGGAGAAGGTATGCAGCACTTCTCCAGCATATTTGCCTACAAAACTGTTATTTCTTTATTTAGAGACAGAGTTTTGCTCTGTCATCCAGGCTGGAGAGCAGTGGCATGATCTTGGCTTACTACAACCTCTTCCTCCTAGGTTCAAGTAATTTTCCTGCCTCAGCCTCCTGAATAGCTGAGATTACAGGTGCCTGCCATCATGTCTAGCTAATTTTTGTATTTTTAGTAGAGATGGGTTTCGCCATGTTGGCCAGGCTGGTCTCGAACTCCTGGCCTCAGGTGATCCACATGCTTTGGTTTCCCAAAGTGCTAGGATTACAGGTGTGAGCCCCTGCACCCGGCCAAAACTTTTTAAAATGGAGCATCTTGTAATGCTAGAGTTCCATAAGTGACACTTCGGGGAAATGATGGTCAAAAAGGTCAAAGTACTCTTCCCTTCTCTGGAGCTCTCAAGAAATGGCAAATGGAGAGAGAATCCTCTCTGTAGTCAAGAACAATGATAGAGGAGAGCCCATTAGAAGTAGTACTTCTGGCCAGGCACGGTGGCTTATGCCTGTAATCCCAGCACTTTGGGAGGCTGAGGTGGGCAGATTGCCTGAGCTCAGGAGTTCGAGACCAGCCTGGGCAACATGGTGAAACTCCATCTCTACTAAAACACAAAAAGTTAACCAGGCCTGGTGGTGCTTGCCTGTAGTCTCAGCTACATGGGAGGCTGAGGCAGGAGAATCATTTGAACCTGGGAGTTGGAGGTTGCAGTGAGTCGAGATCATGCCATTGTACTCCAGAATGGGTGAAAGAGTGAGACTGTATCTCAAAAAAAGAAAAAAAAGAAAGAAATGAAATAAATGGTACTTCTGCCCGTGTTTCATCTTCCGGCCAGGGCTGCTTCCTGAGTGGTAGCAAGTGAGTCCCCTGACGGCCGTGGTTCTTAGCTAGAGGGTCCTGGTCCAGGTGTCCAGCAGCTTTAGCTTCCCCTTCATCCAGGCCCTGTTGACCTGCAAAGGTGAACAGTGGGTCAGCTTGTCACCCCGAAATGGACATGGTGTTCTTGCTGCCTGCAAACTGCCTCCCTTCTTGCTTCTCTTCTCTGAGTGAAGGTGCTCAAGGCCTTCCCTTGCTCTCCCTCCTCCCTTATTTCTGTATTTCTGATGGTGCCTCCTCGGAAGTGGCAGCCAGGTTTCTGGAAACAGCTGCACTAGCATTCAGGAGGCTCAGGGGGGAGTGTTCATTTCTTGGACACAGTTTCCCCATCTATAAAATGGGGATACAGATTTCTTTCCCTTATTTCCTTGTAGAGTTATCCGGAACTCAAATAAGATAATGAATGTCTCCCTTTGTAAACTGTGAGGGATTAGTGGATGACAGTGGTGTGATTATGGTGGCGTGACGTGCAGTCTGCTCTGTTGTCATGGAGGGCTCAGCCTGAAGCAAGCTCTTGGGATTCCTGGGCTGTGTCCTGGCTCTTTACTTGTGGAAAAGCCTTTGCTGAACGCACTGAGTGGGACTGCTGTTTAGCTCTCTGAACTTATCCTGTCTGCAACCCTCAGGAAGGATCTGAGTCAACAAATGACTCCAACATAGTTAATGAATCTTTCATCAATGGTTTAAGGGGTCCTGCAGCTGTTTTCATCACTTTCTCAAGGTAGATTTATTGCTGAAACAGTCTGGCACAGCTTCCTTGTTTGGAGCCAAGCTTTAGCAATACCTTTATTTCCAGCATGTGGCTCCATGGAACAATGTGGGGTTGTCTTTCAGCCAGGGGCTCTGGAAGGCTTCGGGGGCTTGTGCGTGATGGAGCATAAGACTTCTGGGAGCTGCTCCTCCTCTGCCTCCAGCAGCCAGTCTCAACTTCCTTCTCTGCTCCCCCTCATTATTTCCATCCTTGGTGTCATTGGGCCAAGAGTCAATTGCCCACAGGTGGGGCTACTCCTGCCCTCCTTTTTTTTTTCTCAGTAAACATCATCATCTGATTCTCCTTCTTTTGCCCATTGGCCCCTGGCGGCTGTGCTGGATGTGAACTGAGGCTGAGTGTTGGTGGAAGAAATACAGGCTCAGGCTCAGGTTCAGGTTTACAGGGTCTGCTCTGGTTTTAGTGGCCCAGACTAAAGTCTGATGGGCTGGGGACTCATTAATATGAGGTAACTTGGGGCTACATTAGGCCTGCTCCTAAGAGGACCTCAACTTCATACAGACTGCAGCACTAAAGACCTTCTGGGATATTCTAGAATGAGTCCTTGTAGAATGATTCCTTGGGGTCAAACCAGAAACTAACTAGGTCCATCTTTCCTGGTCAGATTCACCTGGAACCAGATGCATGTCTGAGGTTGGAGGAAGTGAAATTCTAGCCAAGTGGCCACTTACCTACTGAATAGTCTTTTTTTTTTTTTTTTTTGGTGGGGTGGGGGGACATAGTCTCACTCTGTTGCCCAGGCTGGAGTGCAGTGGCATGATCTTGGCTCACTGCAATCTCCACCTCCAGGTCCAAGTGATTCTCCTGCCTCAGCCTCCCAAGTAGCTGGGATTACAGGCATGGACCACCATACCCAGCTAATTTTTGTATTTTTAATAGAGGTGGGGTTTCACCATGTTGGCTGGGCTGGTCTTGAACTGCTGACCTCAAGTGATCCACCTGCCTCAGCCTCCCAAAGTGTTGGGATTACAGGCATGAGCCACCGTGCCCAGCCTGAACAGTTTTACATATTGGTTATCTAAGTTGGGGTGGGGGCATTGTGAGTAGGGGGATACAGAAACAATGTTTCCTTTGGTGATATCCCAGGTGAGTTTGAATTTGTGCCTCAGTCAGTGCAAGGGGAAACAAGAATTCCTTTCTTAGTAAACATCATCATCTGATTCATTTATCTGTGCTTAACAGAAACAGGTTTGCAAGCAAAGTATTGGAAACTTCAGTTGTTGAAAGGAGACCGCAAAACGTAGTCTCTCTGTATCTCAAATATGGATTCAGATAATCCAAGTAATGTGCATTGGAGTAGCTCTGTCCTTTCCTGTGATTTTTCACAAACAACCCAGGGAGGAAGGAATGCAGACTTCAGTATTTACATTTTACAGATGTGCAAACTGAAGATGCAGGGAGCTTAAGTGACTTGGCCAACATCACAATGTTAGAGGACATGGGATTTGTAGCTGGGACTTTTGCTGCTGCTTCAGATAAAGTGTCAGGCAAAGAGTGGGAAGCCAGTGGAAGATAAGGTTCAAACAAATGAAAACATCAGTCAGGATTCAAGTTATAGCCACTGAACTATTTTTGCTTCTTTTAAAATAGATTTTTTTGGCTGCTGTGATTATGGGCAGTTGGGCATTACAATTAGTAATTTTGCTTAGAACACAAGCTAAGGAAGCATCATGAACATTTACTGAGCACTTAGTATGTTCTAGCTTCTATTAATACATTATTTCATTTAATTCCCACATGCAACTCTGTGAGATAAAGATAGGTATGGTCATCTCCATTTTAAAAACGAGGAAACCAAGGCCCAGAGTAGCTATGTGGCTTGGATTCAGTGCAAATGGCCACATGTTTAATCACTGTTCGATATGGTCTCTTTGTTTTCTGCCTGATTGTGACAGCTCCTTGGTATATGGCATCAATTAGGAAAGTCACTTTATCCCTCAGGTGTGCAGTGTTAATCCACCCATAAAATGAAAGCTCTGAGGCTGAGCACAGTGGCTCATGCCTGTAACCACAGCACTTTGGGAGGCCAAGGTGGGAGGATCACTTGAGAACGAAGTTTGAAACCAGCCTGGGCAACATGGCAAGATCCCATCTCTACAAAAATATAAAAATTAGCTGGGTGTGATGGTGTGCTCCTATAGTTCCAGCTCCTTAGGAGGCTGAGTGGGAGGATCGCTTGAGCCCAGGAATTCAAGGCTGCAGTGAGCTGTTATCACATGGCTGCACTTCAGCCTGGGTGACAGAGCAAGAACAAGAGCTTGTCTCTAAAACAAAAACAAAAAAAGAAAAAGAAAAAAAAAAGACTCAAGTGAGATGTGTGGTCAGTTGAAATGTTTAATGACCCCAGGCTCTGAGAACCTGCCATATTCTTCTCTATTCATTCAATAAACCAGATTCTCTACTTATCCTGACCAGATCATTTCCCCAAGGATGGAACTTGCTCAGATACTGCCATTGTTTCTGAAAAATATATATTTTAGAGACAGGGTCTCACTCTGTCACCCAGGCTGGGGTGCAGTAGTGCCATCATACTGTTCACAGCCTTGAACTCCTGGGCTTAAGTGATCCTGTTGCCTCAGTCTCCCCAGTAGCTGGGACGAAAGGCATGTACCACCACGCCCATCTAAAATTTTAAACATTTTGTAGAGATAGGATCTCACCGTATTGCCCAGGCTGGTCTCAAACTCCTAGCCTCAAGTGATCTTCTCTCCCTGGCCTCCCAGAACATGAGCCTCAGGTATGAGCCACTGAGCCTGGCCAAAAATCTTATGTTGGGCTCTTGCTCTTTTATTTTCCCAAGAACTCTGCTACCAGCCAAGGCCCTCGCATTTGCCTGTTACTGCTACCCAGTTGTCTTCTCCCATCTCCCTTACCAAAGGCAACTTCTGGCTCTTTTAATGCTTCAAGTTCCATAGAATAATATTGACAGGGTCAATTCTCATAGTACTAAACAGTTTACAGGTAGCTCACAAGGATTTTCTGTGTAGCCATGATGTAGATCTTATTGTGCCCATTACAGGGATGAGCAAACAGAAGCTCAAAGAGGTTAAGTGACTTACTTAAGATCTTACACTAGTTAGTGAGAGAACAGCCATTTTGATACACATTTCTGGCTCCAATCCTATGTATATATTTCACATTATATTGCCACAAAAATCACAGGATTAAGGAATATTAAAGCAGAACAGATCTAAGAAATCATCTAAAATCTAGAGTCTAGACCTATACTGCCAAATACAGTAGTCATCAGCTGCATGTGGATATTTAGATGTAAATTAATTAATGTAAAATAACATAAAAAGCTCAGTTTCACTATTGTACTACTACATTTCAAGTGCTCAATAGCCACATGTTGCTAATGGCCACTTTATTTAACAGCACTTACGGAACATTCCATCACTGCAAAAAGTACTATATTGGACAGTACTGGTCTGCACTAACCGCTCATTTTACACACTGAGGGCTATGCAAACCAGAGTCCCAAGACCTCGTTTTGGGAAACTCCATTTTAAAGTGTTAACAGTCCAAATATCTGAGAAGTGGCCATAAAATCAACATGTAAATCAACATGTACCTTGTTCAAAAGATTTTCCTTGTTGAATCCAACATGAAGGGAAGACAGGCAGGAGATGGTATTTTGGGGGTACACCTGAAAGATCCTGTTGTGGCCTGAGCTTCTTTGGTACATTAAGTTGACTGTCCTGGAGCAGCACAGAATTCTTGATGTAACCTGAAGAGTAGGTCAGGAGGTATTGATAGAAATAGTGGATACCAACTTCGAGTTCTTGGCAATAACTACAAGGTTCCTCACTTGCACTAGTCATGGCTTTGTACATTGCCCATTAGGGAAGACAATTAGAAGATGAGGGAGATTAAAAAATCAGATAGAACCCATAGAGTCTTCTCTGTTCAGTGTCTTGGGTGCTTCTGGCTCTGTGCTACATGTGTGCTTCCTCCACCCCATCATTTCCAAGATCTGGCTCTCCCTGGTGGAAGGAACATGGCAGCTTCTTTGGGACAAAAAGCTCCTCCTGCCTTAGAAGGAGATCCAATGGTAGTAGATGTATCCTATTTGTTTCTGTAGGCCCCATGATCAGCAGCTTCCTCAATCTAGTCATTCTCTAAGTATTCACTGAAGGCTTCCCTTTGGGCCCACCCCTTGGCCAGTGAAGTAGATACAGAAGAACCAGACTTGGGCCCTTTAAAAAGGCACTCACAGCTGGGTGTGGTGGCTCACACCTGTAATCCCAGCATTTTGGGAGGCTGAGATGGGTAGATCACCTGAGGCCAGGAGTTCGAGACCAGCCTGGCCAACATGGTGAAACCCTGTCTCTACTAAAAATAGAAAAATTAGCTGACTGCTGTGGTAGGTGCCTGTAATCCCAGCTACTCAAGAGGCTGAGGCAGGAGAATCACTTGAACCTGGGAGGGGGAGGTTGTAGTGAGCCAAGATTGCAACACTGTGCTCCAGCCTAGGTGACACAGCGAGACTCCATCTCAAAAAAAAAAAGAAGGAGGCACTCATAGTCTATCGGAGAGACAGAGCTCTCTTGTGTTCTGTATGGCTCTGAGTGTTAGCGTGATGTAAGGTCAGAAAACAAGGAGCTTGATAATGACTGGAGTTGTCAGCAAAGACTTTGTAGAAGATGTGGACTTGAAGCGTGGGGAGGATTAATCATAGGGGTGTAAAGAAGAAGTCCCAGAGAATATATATATCAGTATCACAAAGTGGGAAGCTCTGAGATGTGCAGGAAGAGGGTGGCAGGGGCCATTGGGCTGGTGGGCTAACACTCGATTCTTGCCATTGAGCCTCCAGCTTGAGGGTCTCACCTTCAACAGGGACTTTGGCAAGGAAGCTCAAGAATGTGTGTGTGTGTGTGTGTGTGTGTGTGTGTGTGTGTGTGTGTGTGTGTGTGGTGTGTTTTCTTAAACCACATGTTTTAGCCATACTCCATGGAGGACTCAGAGACATTTTTTGAGATTAGGAGGGGTCTTCATTCTGGGGAACGTTGGACCTAGGCTATGGGAGAGTGGCCTGCTCTGCCCTCTGCCTCACCCAATGAGAAACACTTCTTTGGCTAAGAGACTCTTTCTCACAAGTGTCAAGTAAATGGAACTGCCTATAACTGTGGAACTGCCCTGGGAGTAAAACCAATGACTGGACACGCCCACAACTTTCATTTTGCTTCAAGTCACCACTTACTGGGGGAGAGAATTGTTTTCTCTTCTTTCTCAGGGTAAGCCTATAAAGCAGGAAGAAAGTCAGTCTTTCTCTGGTCCTGCCTGTTTGCTGCTGCTGAAGAAATGGCGAACAGCTGACTGGGCACTGGCACATTCTCTGCTTACTCTTCTCATCCCCAACAGGTTTGCCAAATAAAATACAGGATGTCCCAGTAAAATTTGAATTTTAGATAAACAATGAATAATTTTTTAATAGTAGTATGTCCTGAAGATTGCAAGTGTAACTGTTTATGTATGTTAGGGGATGGGGTGGGTACATGCTAAATCTGGCAACTCTAATCCCCAGCCACCTCCCGTTTTTGTTTTCAAGCATTTACAGAGTGCATTTAGGGTCTGTTCATCAGAAGGGTGTCCATCGCACACCTAATGGATTGTGCTGGAGAACCGCCATCTTTAACAGGAAGAATCCTAACATTTTACTTCCGGGAGGACATGGGATCACCTCAGATGGGGAACTAAGGAATGTTGGGAAGAATGTGGAACTGGGGGTGCAGGGTGGATGTGGCTTCTGGTCCCAGCTCTGCTTTTGACTAAATGACCTTGGACAAATTACTCTGCGATTCTTTTTCCTTATCTTGTAAAAGATGGAGGTTGAACTGGAGGGTCTCTGAGTGGAGAAGATGGGGAAGAAAGTTCTGGCCTGGATGTGGCATGTGAGGCTGCTGAGGGGGAGGAGTGGGAGTGAAGGCAGGACGTCAGGCTGTCCCTCCCTCTGCAAATGCGCCAGAGGACAAAGGGTGGGAGCTGTGAAAGAGGCTTGTGAGCTACCAAGTGTGGGGACTTTGTTTTAACACAGAATTGGGCTTGAAATCCTGGTGTTTTAGGTCTTGACGGAAAACACACTCTCACACCAGAATGGGAGGTAGCGCAGTTTGGGGTGTGCCCCCCTCCCATTTCCCCACTGACCTGCACACCAGAGCCTGTACATGGCATCTGGGGGCCAAGTCTGCAGGAGGCCTCGGAGGTATCTCTTGGCTGAATGCCCTGGCTGGATCTGCCGTTGGGCCTGGCTCTCCAGCTGGCTTCGGAAGTGGAGGTGTGGTTGCCAGGCTCTGTCCTGCTCCCCCTGTGGGGATACCAGTCAGGAAACCGCACAGCTGCTGGGCCCTGAGCCGCCCAGTGATACAGGCTGGTTAGCACAATCTTCATCAGTAACCCAGGAAACTCCCAGAAGGTGCCAGAAGGCACCAAAAACAGATGCCTTGGCTAATAGACATAAACCAAGAGCTCACAGAGCAAAGCTCTGAAAGGCCCCTGCAGGCTTGCAGTTGGAAGCAAAAGGAGAAATGACATATACCAGACCCCATCTTGAGATAGAGCATTAGGAAAGGATAAAAGCTTCAGAAGAAAACACATTACCTAGTTCAGCCTGTGGAAATCATTTTAGTATCTTCAAAAATGGTTCTGTACTATAATGGGAAAGCCAGCTCACAAATCTGCATTGGCATTCAGTGTTTGTAATATGAATAATGGGACAGACAAATCATATCCATGTTCACAGGGAGCCTGGCATTTTGAAAATATCTGGCTCTGATGCATTTCATTTAAGCTGGGGAGAATTTTCTGGGAACCTACCTGCCAAAGTCAGTGCCACTGTGTAAGACATCATGGGTAATAAATATGAATAGTAACATCTTACAATTGACTAGAAATTTACATTATATATAGAATTTTCTTTTCTTTTCTTTTTTTTTTTTTTTTTTTTNAGATGGATTCTTGCTCTGTCACCAGGCTGGAGTGCAGTGGCGCGACCTCAGCTCACTGCAACCTCCGCCTCCTGGGTTCAAGATATTCTCCTGTCTCAGCCTCCTGAGTAGCTGGGATTACAGGCATGCACCACCATGCCCGACTAATTTTTGTATTTTTAGTAGAGACAGGGTTTCACCATGTTGGTCAGTTTGGTCTTGAACTCCTGATCCCGTGATCCACCCACCTTGGCCTGGGATTACAGGCGTGAGCCACTGTGCTTGGCCAGAACTTTCACCTCAACTGCAATCCTGTAAGGTAGACTGAGTTACTAAAGCCACTTAAGTGATGTAGAAACTCTCAGAGGATGATTGCTTAGGCACAAGAATAGCAAAAGTGTGACATTTGTATTGACATCTCTCACCCTCCCCAGTGCCTATGGCAGACATCCCTAATCAATCACAGCATTCCTGATTACTGAACTGAAGGTGATCTCAGAATCCACTTTTTCCTTAAAAACATTTTTGAAACTGAGGCATAATTTATATAACATGCACAGAGCTTAGATATTCGTTTGATAAATATTGACAATTGTATATACCCTTGTAACCATCACAGAAAACAAAATACAGAATACTTTCATCCACCTAGGAAGTCCCTCATGCCACTTTCTAGTCAGTGTCCTCCTACCCACTAGGTAATTAATATTCTGATTTCTAACACTGTGGACTGTTTTTTTCTGTTCTTGAACTTCATATAAATGGAAACATACAGCATATATTCTTGCATGCTCCATGAAAGTGATCCACACTGTGTTCCAGTGAGAGCTGGCATGAGAGATGAAGTCCACTTAGTACCCTTTGGCTAAGCAGCTCTCTCAAGGCAACAATATAGCCTGGAAGGATAGAGGGCAACTATATGGATCCAGTTAGCAGTGGGATTGGGCTTGAATCTAGGGCTTCCAAATCCACATCAGGGCAAAGACTCTTGTTCTTTAAGAACTGACCATCTCATCAAAGGACCAGGATTTAGCACCATGAACCAGCTTGATGTCAAAATAAGAAATAAAAATGTTTCAAAGCAGGTGCCTCAGTGAGTATCCCAGACTGTAAGAACTGTAGTCTAGAGAGGTTAACATTTTCATAAGTGTTAGGATGCAGTAAAATCTGACTCAACAGGCTTGAACAATGAGAGAGAAAGTTTGTTATCTCATGTAACAAAAAGACCAAACGCTAGAGAGTACCAGGGTTGGTTAATTCAGTGGCTAAATAGCTCTGGCATCCTGCATCTCATGCTGTAGGCACCAAATCTCTTTCTACTCTTCAGAACAGTTTTTCCCTTCAGTCTTACAGGCCTGCAGAGGCTGAACAATGGACACAGGGAAACATCAAGTGGGTCCAAAAAGCACAAGCGGAAGAGTGGGAAGGAGACAGCCTGTGAGAAGGCCTGGGAAACAGCCCTGGATTTTAGGGCCAGAGTGCCTGGACTCCAGGCTGGCTCTGGCTCATGGGAACTCTGTGATCTTGGGTGAGCTCTGGAACCTTCTGAAGCTCTCACTAAAGTGGAGCTAATAGAGGTAGAGGGGTTGGAGAGTGCATGGGTTCTGGAATCAACCTGAGAGTCTGGCTTCACAGTGCCTGACACATACTAGGGGTTCAATATTGTGGGGAAATGAATAAATGAACACACAGTTCCAATCCCAGCCCCACTACTTCTCAATCGTCTGCATTATAGAATTTCACCCATAATACTGACATAGTATCTCTTTTTTGGTATAAATGAAATAATGTAAGTGAACAGTGTCCCACTGAGCCAGGTTATGGTAAGGTGAGAGGTGCATCCTCTCCCTGCCTGTCCTGCACTCGTGAAAACGCTTTCTCATCTCTCAGCACTCCTAATGGGAGCTGAGGAGAACACAAAGTGGAGGCTTTGCCTTAAGATGGGATCGATCTTGAGAGTTTGGTTAATCTCTCAGTAATTTTACTCAGTGTCCTCAGTGTAAGGATTATATGAGCTGAGGTATGTAAAATATGTAATGCTTAGCATGTAGTAGGTGGTGAACCAATATTAGGTCTTTTCTCCTTTCCCTTGTCCAAGGGGTGGGAGACTGTGCTAACTGCCTCACCCTTTCCCCCCCTCACTTCTTTTGCTTTTTCCCAGTTTTTTGTCAGCAGATCCCCTTTCCCAAATAGTCATCCCTAATTGTCTGTGGGGAATTGGTTCCAGGACCTCTGTGGATATCAAAATTTGCATATGCTCAAGTCCCTTATATATTCTAAAATGGCGGTAGTAATATTTGTACAGTATAGCCTGTCCACATCCTCACTATACGTTACATTGTTTCTAGCAACTTATGATACTGAATATAATGTAAATGCAGTGTAAATGGTTGTTATACTGTTTTCTAGGTTTTTTTTGTTGTTGTTGTTGTTTGCATTGTTATTTTTTTTTCCTGAATATTCTCGATCCCTGGTTGGTTGAGGCCAGGGAAGTGCAGACATGGAGGGCCTTGCTTTCCTAGACTCTGTCGTGTCTCAGGGTGGCCAACAGACCTAGCTCTGGCCAGTGAAACTAAGAGGAAGCTAATTGGAGCCTCTGGAAGGTCTTTGATTCCTTAGAGAAGGAACAGCTGTGCAAGGATGGCTTGGTGGCCCTTTTCTTCTGCTTTGAACCCAGATGTGACCTCTGGAAGTAAAGAACCATCTTGTGAATGTGCGCTAACAAGCCTAATAAGAAAAACCAACATTCAAAGGATATTGGAAGGAAAAGATAGCACTTGAGTCCTTCATGGCATCGGCAAGAAGCTGAGCAAGCATAAAACTCCTACCCCTCCATTTTGTGTTACTTGAGATAATCACATCTCTTTATTGCCTAAATCAGGGGTTGGCTTTTTTTTTTTTTTTTTTTTTTTATAATTGATAAGTATTTTGTGAGGATATGTGTAAATATACTCTCCCTCTTCAAACATTTTTTCTTTTTTTGAGACCATCTCGCTCTGTCACCCACACTGGAGTACAGTGACGCTAACTCAGTTCACTTCAACCTCTGCCTCCCAGGTTCAAGCGATTCTCCTGCCTCAGCCTCCAGAGAAGCTGAGATTACAGGGTGTGCGTGACCACACCTGGTTAATTTTTGTATTTTTTGTAGAGACAGGATTTCACCATTTGGCTAGGCTGGTCTCGAACTCCTAACTTTAAGTTATCTGCCCATATTGGCTTCCCAAAGTGCTGGAATTACAGGCATGAGCCACCATGCCTAGCTTGGCAAATTATTTTTCTAAAGGGCCAGACGGAAAATATTTTAGGCTTTGCAGGCCATATGGTCTCTTGCTACCACTCAACCTGTCCTTGTAGTGCAAAAGCATCCACAGACAATATATAAACAAATGGTTATGGCTGTACACAAACAAGCAACAGGCAGGATTTGGCCAGTGAGCTGTTTGCTGATTCCCCAACTTCAACCATTGATAATCATGAAATCTGTTGCTTGCAGCCAAAAGTATTTCTGATATGTGGATACAACAGATTTAAAGCTGCTACAAATTCAAGGGATGGGAAACAAGCACTGGAGAAAAGGGGATGAGGAAGATGGATTGATAACTAACAAAATCACATCAAGTGAGTCCAAAAAGCACAAGCGGCAGAGTGTGAAGGAGACAGCTTGTGAGAAAGCCTGGGAAAGCACCCTAGATTTAGGGCCAGAGTGCCCTAAATCAAGGTTCAAGATAAAAGAAAGTGTGGTTGACTATTCAGTTGGCTTTACTCCTTGGGGACTTATGAATTAAATGAATGCTTATAATTCAAACGTAGAGCATCACCTGCTTCTTGATGTCTGGAAAGTTTATGTGGCAGGTACTTCAAGTGCAAAAAGAGCCTAGAAATTCAGTCTCGTGTGGTCTTGAGGCTTTTTCCAGAGGACATGAAAGAAAGAATTGTAGAGACGATGGTGGAAGCCAAATGACACTTTCACACACTCCATTTTTTCACTCAGCCATACGATAAATATTGTTGGGTACTTTTTAATATGCTAGGCACTGTGTTGGGCCCTGAAATATGGAGCCATTACACCAGAGGCCTTTTCTGGGTGAATTGGAACCTCATTTCTTTTCTGTGAATCTTTGCTTTGACTGACTTTCCTCTGAATGCAGTAAGGACCACCAGCCTCTTCCGAGATACTGTGGCCCCTGTGCAGATGGGATGATGTGCTGTTCGAGTCTGGACAGGAACCCTTGTAGTTTCTCATCAGTGGACATTTCTTTCTTTCTTTCCTTCCTTCCTTCCTTCCTTCCTTCCTTCCTTCCTTCCTTCCTTCCTTCCTTCCTTCTTCCCTCCCTCCCTCTTTCTTTCTTTTTCTTTTCTATCTCTCTCTGTCTTTTTTTTTTTTCCTTTTCTCTTTTTTAATAGAGTTTCACTCTTTTGCCCAGGCTGAAGTGCAGTGATGTGCTCTCGGCTCACTGCGACTTCTGCCTTCCAGTTTCAAGCGATTCTCCTGCCTTAGCCTCCACCGTAGCTGGGATTACAGGCACCCGCCACCACACCAGGCTAATTATTGTATTTTTAGTAGAGACAGGGTTTCACCATGTTGGCCAGGCTGGTCTCGAACTCCTGACCTCATGATCCACCCACCTCGGCCTCTCAAAGTGTTGGGATTACAGGTGTGAGCCACTGAGTCCGGCCATTAGTGGGCATTTCTGAAGCACTAGCTTGCTTCTGAAGCTTTATGGGGAAGCTTGCTCCATGGTGCAGGGAGTTGCCAAGGAGAGTTAGGGAATCCTAGACCTTGAATTTAGAGTATTTACACATATTTTTGCTTAGGGTTTGGAAGCTGATTTTGGTGTATTCATTTCCTATTGTTGTTAACAAATTACCATATATTTACTGGTTTAAACAACACAAATGTATTATTCTTGCACTGTTCTGGAGGTTAGAAGTTTGAAATGGGTCTCACTGGGCTAAAATCAGTTTGCTGACAGGTCTGAGTTCCTTCTAGAGGCTCTGGGGAAGAATCTGTTTCCCTGCCTTTTCCAGCTTCTAGAGGTCATCCCCTACCTTCATTCCTTGGCTTATGGCCCTTTCTTCCATCTTTAAAGCTATCAACATTGAGCCGAGTCCTTCTCAGGCTGCCCTCGCTCTGATCATTTCTTCTGATTCCTTCTTCTGCCTTTAAGGACTCTTGTGCTTACCTTGGGCCCACCCAGACCATCCAAGATCATCACCCCATTTGGAAGCCATCTACGATGACAGCCTTAATTCCACCTGCAACCTTGATTTCCCTGTGCCCTGTAACCTCACATAGTCATAGGTTCCAGGGATTAGGACATAGATATCTTTGGCAGGACATCCTGCCTACCACATTCTCTTTAAGTTTTTTTCTCGTTTCCTGGTTTCTTTTAATAATCTCTCAAATGATCCCTGTGAAGTTGGTTAATAACGTTCCATCTCATTGGAGAAACTGAAGCACCTAGGGATGGCCAAGGCCTGCTTAGGGCTGCCAAGGCGACCAGCCAGGGTGAAAGTGACTTACTCATTTCCAACCTGTTAAATAATATTTTCAGTGGAAAACAGCAAAATATAAGAAAGCATGTATAGTAGAATTACAATCTCATAAAAATATATCCCGTATCTAATCATGGTGGAAAGACTGGAAGAAAATAGATGAAAAAGCTAATAATGGCAATATTAAGGTGCTGGGCATAAGATTATAAATAGTCCTTTCTTCTCTCTCTCTCTCTTTTTTTTAAATAAAATCAAGTTTTCAGTAATATAGTTAGATTATATTTCTAAATAGAAAACATGTTAAAAATTAATTTTATGGCACCCACCCTCTTCTCATGTGTATTTCTTTAGTTCTTCCCTAAAGTTATTCTAGACCTAACCACCCACTCAAAAGTCACTCTAAAATATAAAAGGAGACAGAAGGGAGCCAGGAAGGGAGTTTCTGGAACAGGGAAATAAACGTGATAGCAGGAGGCTGGCTACATATGGTTTGAGACTGTTCAGGCTTGCCTCGGCTTTGCCAATCAACCCCAGCTTTGGGTTTCTTCTGCAATGAGTAATTAGTGTGCATGGGGTGGCCTGTTACCCACATTCCACCATGAGCGCTTCCTTTAGCTTCCTTTAACAAGGGACTTGCTCTGGCCAGTTGCCTTCCTGATGCATATCAGGTCTCTGAATGCAGAGGTGTGAAGGGGACTCCCAGTACCTGCCTCTTCCTACACGCTGGCTATCCTGTCCACCTGCTCTAGTGCTGGCCACTGAGGGTTTTCAGAGGATAGAAGGAGATGGTAGGGCTTGTGCTTCTGCCCAGCAGATATGGGGTGGCAGGGCACCAGAGTCCCCAGGAAGAAAACAAAGGCTCAGATAGCCAGCTGCCGCCCAGGCTTTGTGTGCAGGAATCAACAGAAGGGAAGAGAGAAGCCCCCAAATCCCAGAAGTGGCAGGCACAGCCCTCCACAATTTGGCCCCACCCACTTCCCCAGGTGTATTTCCAGCTGGGAGCCCGGCTAGTGACCCTGACTTCCCCTGCACGTTCTCTCCTTGAGGCCTCTGCTCACCTAAGCCTGGAAGGTCTTATCCTGCTTAACTTGACAAGACTCAGCTCAAATTCTACCTTCTCCAAGAAGCTGCTCTAGATTTTTCTCAGAGAGAGAAGCAGTCACACTCTCCACCTTCTTTATTAGGAAGCCATAATCTTGCTCATCTCATGGACTGCCTTGTATCAAAATGTCACTGGGGCACAAATCCATCTCTTTCACCAGATTGCGCACTCTTGGTGGGTAGAGGTTACAGCCTCCCCCTGCCACCTCCTTCAATCAATATGTCAGTAAACAATTTGTTGAGCATCTGCTATGTGTCAGGCACTGTTTTAGGCCCAGGGCAGTTCCTAACTACTCAGATGTTGGCTCAGTTGAATGGAAAAACCGAATAATGTCTGCATTTTACTGCTGATCTCCTGTGCTCCAAGGTGCCTGCTCCATCCAGCCAGAAGTCCTTCTCACAGGAGGGGCACAGCTGGCACCTTCTCGCCCTCAGTCAGGCTTGCTGGAGTCAGTTCTCTGCCAAAGGCCAAGCCTTAGAACAGAGTGACTGCCCATTGTTGTTGCACCTGTGCACGTGTGACTGGAGCCAGCCAGGTGAGTGCAACTGGAGTAGGGGTGGGGGCAGGGTGGGAGGTGAGAGAGGCCACTTGCAGCTGTGCCTGGAAAGCGTCTGCCACCCCCAGTCTAACTTTGATTAGCTTCGTGCTAACACTGCTGCTCTCAGCCAGTCGTTTCTCTGCAGGTTTAATTTCTGGGATTCTGTGCAAATGATACTGTCTCTCCTATCTCTCTTTGGTGAGCATATTTTCCTGGAAACCAGGCCATAAAGAAGAGAATCGTGAAGTGGTCTGACTTTTCTCATTAATGCAGAGTCGTAACAAGGCATGATCCCTGACCAAACCATTCAGCGTCAAAGATTTGACCAGCCATATGTCATAAAAGTAAAGGTAGAACTGGGATTGCTAGCAGCAAAAATTAGACTCCAGTTCCTATAAGAGCTCAATCTGCTTGGATTTGAATCCTGTCTTGATGACTCACTAGCTGTGTAACCTTAGAAGAATTATTTGATCCACCTGTGCCTCTGTTTCTTTATCTGCCAAATAAGGATGACAAAAATACATACTTTACATGCAAAAAAAAAAAAAAAAAAAAGAAATTGGACTTTTACCATACACCATTTACAAAAGTTAACTCAAAATGGAGCAAAAACCTAAACATAAGAACTAAAACTGTAAAACTCTTAGAAAAGTTTTCCCCCAGAGTTTACAACTATAGGGGAAAAGCTTCATGGGATTGAATTTGGCAATGATTTTTTGAATATTATATTAAGAGAACAGGCAAAAAAGAAAAAATAGATAAGTTGGACTTTATAAAAATTAAGAACTTTTTTTTTTGAGACAGAGTCTCGCCCTGTCACCCAGGCTAGAGTGCAGTGGCACAATCTTGGCTCACTGCAAGTTTTGCCTCCCAGGTTCAAGCAATTCTTCTGCCTTAGACTCCTGACTCTTGTGCATCAAAGGACACTATTGACAGAGGGAAAAGGCAGGCAACCCATGGAGTGGGAGAAAATATTTGTAAATTAGTATCTTAGATTAATATCCGGAATATCTCTCTTTGAGAGAGAGACAGAGACAGGGTCTTAGTCTGTCACTCAGGCTGGAGTGCAGTGGTGTGATTATATCTCACTGTAGCCTTGAACTCTTGGGCTCAAGGGATCCTCCTGCTTCAGCCTCCCAGAGTGTTGGGATTACAGGCACAAACCAATTATTCAGAATATCTAAGAACTCCTACAATTCAACAACAAAAATCAACCCACTTAAAAAATGGGGCAAAGGATTTGAGTAGATATTTCTTCAAAAAAGATATACAAACGGCCAATAAGATAAAAAGATGCTCAATGTCATTTATCAGTAGATAAATGCAAATCGAAACCACAATGAGATTCCACTTCACACCCATTAGAATGGCTATTAAAAAATTTTTTTTCAGGTCCAACAGGTGATGCGTCAATGTTGTAATAAGGTTCAGAGGGTGGCACATTTCACACATGCCTGTGAACACCCAATCATTATGCTCATGAGCTACAAAAGGATCTGGCTATTATAAAATAAAATGTTTAAAAATAGAAAGTAACAAGTGTTGATGAGGATATGGAGAAACTGGAGCTCTTATGCATGGCTGGTGGAAATGTAGAATGGTGTAACTAACTGCTGTGGAAAATCATATGGTAATTCCTCAAGGAATTAAAGATAGAATTACCATATAATCCAAAACAATTCCACTTCTGGGTATATACACAAAATAATTGAGAACAAGGACAGGAACAGATATTTGTACATCCATGTTTATAGGGCATTGTTCACAACAGCCAAAATGTGGAAGCAACTTAAGTGTCTGTTGATGGAAGAATGGAAAACCAAAATGTGGTATATATATATATACAAGGGAATATTACTGAACTTCACAAAAGGAGATTTGGATACATGCTACAACATGAATTCATTCTTCTAATGAATGAAGACATTACGCTAAGTGAAATAAGTTAGCCATAAAAGATAAAACTGTGTGCTTTCACTTATATGAGGTACTCAGAATAGTCGAATTCACAGAGGCAGAAAGCAGAAATGTGTTTGCAGGGGCTAGTGACAGAGGGAAAGGGGGAATTACTATTTCATGGATATGAGTTAAGTTTAGCAAAATGAAAAAATTTCTGGAAATGGTGGTAATGATTATACAACAATGTGAATATACTTACTGCCACCTAAAAATGATTAAACTGTACACCTACAAATGGTTAAAATGGCAAATTTCATGTTATATATATTTTAATACAATAAGAAAAGGCACCTACCTTATTAACTTGTTGTGAGGATTAAGTGAGTTAATAAGTATAAAGCACTTAGAATGGTGCTGGTATAATACTAAGTTCTATATAAGTATTAGCCATTGTTATAAATATTGTTAGTTATATAAGGGAACCAATGAATGAAGTACATAAAACCTGGAAAAATGGGAGTGTACTGGATCATATATATATATATATATATATATATATATATATAGCTTATTATAGAAATGCTACTTATAATCCAATTTAATTTTAATGAAAATCTGATTTGCTTTCCTAGAATTATAAAGGGTTAGCTTAATGGATGTGTTGAAAGACTCAGATCCACTTTTACAAAATACTGCTAAAGCTGGGGAGATGCTTCTTTCTCTCTGGGGCATGTGGGATTTTCAAAATCAAGCTTTCTAGGGGTTAAACGTGGGGCTTTGGAATCAGTTGTTGGGCCCCAATTCTAGCTTCACCACTGAGGTGTATAATTTTGAGCAAGTTAGTTAATGTCAGGTATTTTCCTCGTAGAAAACGGAGGTAATGCTAGCTAGCACCTGGCTCATAGGCTTGTGCAGATTGAATGAGGTTGTACAGGTAAAATGCCTGCCACACATTAAGCACTCAGTAAGTTCAGCTATTATTGACATAACCTTTGACCTCATAGTTGAGTTGACCATGTTTCTCTCTGATCATTCCTACTTCTAGGTTTATTAAAGGCTCCAAGTACAGTGGCTCAGGACCTGCTCCAGTGGAGCACACTTGGAAGAAGGAGTGCAGGCAAATCACCCTTTCTCCCCCTCTGCTGCCTTACTGCCTACTTAACACTGTTGACAGCCGCCAGAGCACTTCCCACAGTTTACCGACACCATCAAACAAGTAGCAGGTTATTGACTGGGACTTGCAAGGAAACTTCATCCTCCTAATCTCTGGCTAAAAGGGTAATAGATAATTTTTAATTCTCTCTCCTTTTCTATAGTTTTCTAATTTGCATACAAACCCTGTATTATGGTTAGAATGGGAAGAATAAACTTAATTAAGGAAGGCATATTTCTCACAATATTTTCTACTTGATAAAATGGTAACCTGGGCCGGGTAATGTGGCTAATGCCTGTAATCCCAGCGCTTTGGGAGGCCCAGGTGGGAGGATCACCTGAGGTCAGTAGTTCGAGACCAGTCTAGGTAACATGCTGAAACCCCATCTCTACTAAAAATACAAACGTTGGCCAGGCATGGTACCCAGTGCCTGTAATCCCTACAACTTGGGAGCCTGAGGCATGAGAATCGCTTGAACCTGGGAGGCAGAAGTTGCAGTGAGCCAAGATCACACCACTGTACTCCAGCCTGGGCCACAGAGCAAGACTCTGTCTCAAAAAAAAAAAAAAAAAAAGTAACCTAAAGTTTCCTTCATGGGTGGACATTGACTGAAAACAGCAACCAAAGCATTAAATGCCTTGAGTATTAAGATTTGGGGAGAAATTAGGCAGTATAGAATGAGTGGGGACTATTCAGAGAAACAAGGCTGACAATACTTTAAAAACTGACCAAATTTATAAAGGAGATGGCAGTAGCGACTCACACCTGTAATCCAATACATTGGGAGGCTGAGGTGGGAGGATTACTTGAGCCCAGGAGTTTGAGACCAGCCTGGGCAACAAAGCAAAAACCTATCTCTACAAAAAAATTTTAAAAAATTAGCTGGGTGTGGTGGCACATGTCTGTAGTCCTAGCTGCTTGGGAGGCTGAGGCAGGAGGATTGCTTGAGACTAGGAGTTCAAGGTTACAGTAAACTATGATCATGCCACTGAAATCTAGCCTGGGCAGCAAAGCAACACCTTGTTCTATGAAAAAAAAAAAGTAAAAAATAATACTGATAAGAACAATATAGTATAATAACTATTTACAAAGCATTTATGCTGTATTAGTTATTACAAATAATCTAGAGATGACTCAAAGTATATGGGAGGATGTGTAGGTTATATGCAAATACCATGCCATTTTGTATAAGGGACTTAAGCATCCTTGGATTTTGGAATCCTCAGGGAGTTCTGGAAGCAATGTTGGTCCTTGATTTTGGAATTAGGGGTATCCTGGAACCCTGCAGATACTAAGGGACAATTGTACAATGTTGGCTGAAATCTGCTATAGTTATCTAAATCCTGTTTATCTCTCAATGGAATAGAGAAATGGCATGTCGTGTGAACTGAATTTTAAAACAAATTATTTTAAATACATTATTTAATCAATGTCTCATTGTTGGGTACTTATACAACCCCAAATTATGGTTACTCAGGCTTTATAGCTAGTTAACATCTCAATAATGGGAAGCTGAATAAATTAAAGGCCTCAAGAAGAATGGTTTCAACTTTGGAAATGCTAAACAAGATTTCCTTCTGTTAAAAAACAACAACCGGCCGGGCGCGGTGGCTCACGCCTGTAATCCCAGCACTTTGGGAGGCCGAGGCGGGTGGATCACAAGGTCAAGAGATCAAGACCATCCTGGTCAACATGGTGAAACCCCGTCTCTACTAAAACTACAAAAAATTAGCTGGGCATGGTGGCGCGTGCCTGTAATCCCAGCTACTCAGGAGGCTGAGGCAGGAGAATTGCCTGAACCCAGGAGGCGGAGGTTGCGGTGAGCCGAGATCGCGCCATTGCACTCCAGCCTGGGTAACAAGAGCGAAACTCCGTCTCAAAAAAAAAAAAAAAAAAAAAAAAAAAAAAAAAAAAAACCAACAACAACCAAAAAATAACCAACCGAGCAACATATCTGTGTGCATCCAGAAGTCTAAGAATGCTGACCTCTGATTTCTTGATTTAACATTTATTTACCCATTAGGAGTTGGGACATGAAGAAAGTTCAAGGGTGGATGTATGCTGAGCTATAAACTCCATACGACTGGCACATGTGTGCTGTCAGATCAATAGAGAGAGCTGGAGGTGCTGTGAGATGCTTTAAACATTGACTTGCACCTTTCTGTGACAGCCTTCATTCTTGCAGGTCTGGGTGAGGCCTGAGACGTGCGGATTTCTTGATTCACAGTCCAGCCAAGAACAGATCCTTCCATTAGCAGCGCTACTGTATTGGTTAACCTCCTCTACCCCTTTTCGCATCCTCACTTTTGCTCTTTGACTTTGAGTGTAGTGTTTTAAACTCTTAAACTATCCTATTTTGACAAATACTTACCCTAAATGATAGGTGGTGTGATTATTGGTGGACTCATCTTGCAGCACTGTTTGCTTTTCCATTTTCCTCCCCAAAGCCTCTCACCTTGATCTCTAGGTTCAACTGTCTACCTCCTTCAGAGCTATAGATTTCTATTTTATTTGTAAAATTCCATAGTTAAAAAAATATATTTGGTAAAATGAAATGTATAAATTAAAATATGGTTTATAATCCCACCACCCATGGTTTATGCCACAGTTGAAATTTGGGTAGATTTCCTTTGGTGGATGTATAATCAATTTTTACTTATTTATTTATTTTTGAGATGGAGTCTCACTCTGTTGCCCAGGCTGTAGTGCAATGGCACAATCTTGGCTCACTGCAGTCTTCACCTCCTGGGTTCAAGTGATTCTCCTGCCTCAGCCTCTCTGGTAGCTGGTATTACAGGTGCATGCCCCCATGCCTGGCTAATTTTTTGTATTTTTAGTAGAAATGGGGTTTCACCATGTTAGCCAGACTGGTCTGGAACTCCTGATCTCAGGTGATTTGTCCGCCTCAGCTTCCCAAAATGCTGGGAATATAGGCAGGAGCCACTGCACCCAGACAATCATCAATTTTTTAAAATCAGAATTACATTAGAGAGGTGATGTTTTCTATGTGGCCTAGTCTCACATTCTGGTGCAGTGATTTACTTTGCTATATAACCTTGAGTGAGTCACTCAAACTCTCTGTGCTTCTGTTTCCCCACCTTTAAAGTGGATAGTAATAGTACCTAGCCCCAAGATTATTAGAAAGCATAAATGAGTTATACTTGGACAGCACTTAGAATAGTGGCAAAAATATCATAACTACTCAAAAAAAGTTAATGAACATTGATGTCTTTAGTATATGAATATAATTTTGTCATCTGCTCTTAAAAAATACATTCCGGGGCAGGCAAGGTGGCTCATGCCTGTAATCTCAGCACTTTGGGAGGCCGAGGTGGATGGATTGCTTGAACCCAGGAGTTTGAGACCAGGCTGGGCAACTGAGCTAAACCTCATCTCTACAAAAATACAAAAAATTGGCCTGGCATGGTGGCATGAGCCTGTAGTCCCAGCTACCCGGGAGACTGAGGTGAGAGGATCACCTGAGCCCTGGAGGTTGAGGCTGCATTGCGCTGTGATCATGCCACTGCACTCCAGCCTGGGTAACAGAGGAGACCCTGTCTCAAAACAAAAACATTGTGCATATTTTCTCATGTTATTCATGACTAACACATGACTTCATTGCTTGACCCAGGTCATTACATGATTTATCATAGTTTATTTAATCAGTGTTCCTTTGCTGGATATTTATTGTTTTCAATGTTTTGCATAGTAATAAAGAACCCTGTAGTAAGTGTTTTTAGGCATAAATCTTTGAACATATCTCTGATTATGTCCTAGGACCAGCTCCTAAGTAGAATGTTGAATCAAAAGGTATCAGTCCTTTTTAGGCTTTTGTCATATTGCCCTCCAGAAATGTCATGTGAATTTGTGCTCCTAACATGTAAGACTGCTGTTTCCCTATAGCTGTCCTGGCACTGGGTATTATGATTTTAAAAGTTTCTCACCAGGCTGTTGTTTTCATAGTCAGATGGTACTATTTTCCAAAGCTTCTTAGGTGTTCATTTTCTTTTCTTTCTTTTTTTAAAAAATAATTTGTATTATTTTTATTTTAATAGAAACAGGGTCTCACTATGTTGCCCAGGCTGGTCTTGAACTCCTGGGCTCAAGCAATTCTCCTGCCTCTGCTTCCCAAAGTGTGGGATTACAGGCGTGAGCCACTGCACCCGGTGTGTTCATTTTCTTTAATTCCAAGTCCCTTTTGAGTTGCTTCCCCTCCTTTTTTAATCTACTATGTCCTTTAATCTTAAACTCCAGCCATGTACTCTTCCATACGTTTTCTTTTCTCTGATTTCTTCACACTACTTCCCTCTGCTCATGTGTAGTTAGACTACATATTCTGTTTTGTACAGATATGAGCTATAAGTTTAGAAGATGGATACCACAGGAAGATAGTAACTTCTTTTTTTCATTTAGCCCAAATATAACCAAAAATGAAACTGACCCCAAACTGACTCATCTACTTTATAAACTAATAAGATCTCTGTTACCTGAAGTATTTAGCCTTATAGACAAGCATCTGAAAATGATGGGAGATATTTTTACTCTGGGCAGTAAGTTAGCCTATATATCACTCAGTGTCCAACCAGGAAAATAGAAAGTAAGTATTTAAACACAGAAGGAATTGAATTTAGGGAATTGGTTGTACAGGTGATTGGAGAGCTCAGAAGCCAAACAGATGGTGGTGGGGAGTGAGGCAACATTGAGATTAGTAACATCAGAAAGCTAGCGCCACACTTAGGCTAGAAGGACAGAGGGAGGAGCTGGTGGGGTCATCTGGAGGAGTCGGGGGTCATAGTGGGCCTGTCTGTTGAGAGCTGGATCACAGAGGTAATGCAGATGCTTCTTTTCACTTGACGCAGAGTGGGAAGGGAGAAATACTGTGGTCTTCCTCTTTTTCTCCCTCTCCAATCTCTTCCCAGTGTCTCCCATTGGCAAATTCAATCAGAAGCCAGTGGACACAGATGTTTATGGAATTGTATGTAGCCTGTGGTCAACCTGCCTGTGACACAGAGCAGAGCAGGGGAAGGGAACAGAGGGGATCTGAGAAAAACAGGCCACGACCAGGCACAATGACCATTGGAGTCCCTTCGAGTCCACAAAACACAGGACAGTGCAAAGTGTGCAGGCCCTGGTGAGGTAGGCAGTCCTGGATTTGAATCCTGGCTCTGTCCTTTAGTAGCTCTCTGGCCTTGGGCAAATCACTTACCTACCCTGAGCTTTGGTTTCTTCATCTATGAAAGGAGGCAAGAAAAACTGTATTGCACAGGGTCATTGTAAGGTTTAAATAAAATAATATTTAGCTATAGTGCGACAGTCAGCATTCAACAATTGGTTTTCTTTTATTCAAGAATGTATTATTTTTAAGACAAAGAACATTGGATATTTGGCCAAGGTCATCAAGCTTCTCTATTTTGAAAGATGAAAAGAGGGCAGAGGAGTCTTTTCTTTTGGAAGCTCTGCCTGGCATGGGGGTAGGTGATAAACTGTCCAATAGTGATTCTGGGAGATGATCTTAGAAAAATTGAAAATATCATGCATGACCAAGTCATCCATTCCACAAACATTTGCAGATACTCATACTTTCTGGAAATGATTTAGACATGGTCTCCACCTTGGAAGAAATGTTAATCCATCAGGAATGACAGAGTCAACAAGATAAATCTCAGTGCATGATGGTATGGGAATGTTTGCAGAGGAGGGAGCCACGGGCTATCTCTGCCTAGGGGAGTGGGAGAAGGCTTCAGTGAGGAGGTGGTATTTAAGTTGTGTTTTGAAGGATGGGTGGGAGCTTGTCAGCTGTAGAAGTGTTTGCAAAAATGAAGAGTCACAAAAGGGCACAGGTGTTAAGGAATGATGAGCTAATCACATGGGTGGGGCCTTATGGCATCAGTGGTTGAGGTGGTATAGGAACAGGCAGGAGATGTAGCTAGACATGGAGAGAAAGCCAGTGTGTGAAGAGCCTGATGTAAGAAGGTAATGACTTTATTTTGTGGGGAATAAGAAGTCAGGAGAGACTTTTAGATTAGGGAGTCACCCACCACTTCTAACCTAGAATTTTACTAAGTGACACATCTTCCCAGACTATCTTATGGCCTTAGTCAAAGGGCTGATGCATGCAATTCTATAAAGCAGGGGCCAGGTGCACATCTCACAAGACATTAGGAAGTATGAATCAGAAAAATGAGCACAGGCATTTTCCCTTAATATTATATTCAGGATGGAAAAAGTCATTAACTTATCCTGCAGACGCTGAAGGGCTCAAGGTAAATATTTAAAATGTTCTCCCTCTTATTTCCACAGAGCCAAGAACATCAGAGGTGGGATGATGATGCTTGTGGCTACGAGACAGGATTTCAAGGATCCTGATGAAACGTCTGCTGGCCTGAATCTGTCTGAATGCTGAAAAGGACTTTGTGTTACTCTAACTAAAAGGAAAACACAAAATGATGATAATATAGCCCTTTATGCTTTTCAGAACCCTTTCACGTACATGATTTTATTTAAGCTTTGTGACAATGGTGTGCAGCAGATAGGGCTAAGAGCACAGTCAGTCTCATTTTAGAGATGAAGAAATGGAGGTCTGAGAGTTTCATGCCTTCCCCAAGGTCCAAGAAGATATTCCCACAGCTGCAACTGGGTTTGTAGACATGCTGCCAACACCTTCCCCAAACCCAAGGGAGTGCTCTACCTACCTGTTGCCTTCCATATGCCAGGATGGCTTCTTTGAGGTCTTGAAGTGTGTACAGTTCAAGATCCAGCTTCCTCCAGTGACCTTTGGGGCTGTAGGGCCCTTTTCCCTTCTCTTTGTGTGTCCATGCCGGAATGGCTAAACCTTCTGAGTAGAGGATCAGGGCACCCTTTCTAGTGCTGAAAGTTTTAGGGAGAAAGAGGCTCCAGGAGTGCTGGGTGGCATTGTCCTCATCTTGAGGTTTGCTGGCAAGAACATAGTCTTCTGGGGACTTCCAGTTCAAGTAATCCTGCAATGAAAAGCAGCTGTCTTGACAGGGCCACTGTGGAAGATCTTTCTACAGCAAGTACTGCTGGTGGAAGGCTGGCGTGCTGGTTCACACCTGTAATCCTAGCACTTTGGGAGGCCGAGGCAGGCAGATCACCTGAAGTCAAGAGTTCAAGACCAGCCTGACCAACATGGAGAAACCCTGTCTCTACTAAAAATACAAAATTAGCCAGTGTGGTGGCACATTCCTGTAATCCCAGCTGCTCAGGAGACTGAGGCAGGAGAATTGCTTAAACCCAGGAGGTGGAGGTTGTGGTGTGCCAAGATCGTGCCACTGCACTCCAGTCTGGGCAACAAGAGTGAAACTCTGCCTCAAAAAAAAAAAAAAAAAAAGAAGAAAAAAAGAAACTATTTTTCTACCAGAAGAAATATTGCTGGTGGAAAGCCTCTGGCATTTTTTTAGTTACTGATTTTCTCTGAATTGTTCCCATGGTGTTATGGAACGCAATTGCTCTTCTTAGCAACTGCCTTTTCTCTCCACGTTTCAAAATTAGTAGAACCCAGAGCATGGTTCTATTTCACTCCATCCAACTTTCAGGAGAGTCATTTATGGCTGGAGGATTAACTCAGCTAGAGTTTAGGTTACAGGCCAGTTAAAGTTTCCTGGTATGCAAGTAAGCAGTCAGAATTATTAAGGGCAGCAGATAACTTTGAAATTAGACCTGGACTAGCTGGCAGTTTAAATAGGAGCATTCGAAGCCCCCACCACTTCATCTGTACACAGGGAGAATTTCTATGCATTCCAGATGCTATGTAACATTACCTAATTTGGCTATTTAGGGGCCTATAAAGGGGTTACATATCTTGGAGGTAAGAAAATGCCACTGCCCATACAGGTCCTTTGAAACTTAATATGCCTTTTAACACAGCAAAGGCCAAATACATGACCAACTACTATGACAATGGAAATCTCTGTATGACCCCCAAATTTGCAAAGTATCCCCAATAGATTTTTTATTCCTGGCAGGAATAAGAAATAAATTCCAGTACAACAAGGGAATTTTGCCACCTCTTTAAAATCTTCTAACATGAGATTTTTTTTGGCCTATATTAAATATGAGTCCTGTGGGTTGAATTCCAGAAAGTTCAAGGAAGCCATTGAAATAGCACGAACACACACAGCATTTTAACCACAGAGCATGACTTCCAAAAACCAAACAACCATCAGCTTGCCTAGAACCCAGGTGTAAATTCTGGTCTTGCACCAAACCATCCAAATTCCAGAGACTCTGGAATTCCTTTGGTCCAAGCAAAGGCAGATACAAGGAGAAAGACAAGGGTCCCAGTGGCAATCTTAGTGTGTCAGGAAAACGACATTATTTTCTTGACTTTCATGGAGGAGGAAGGAAGATCTTCCAGTGACCCCCGCCACCTCACTAACAACACACACCAAGACACACATGGTTTACCTCCCAAGTGGAAAAATAGAGCATTCCTCTCCCACCCCCAAAATGTGCCTTTCTTCAGCTGTGAGACTCACCTCTGGTTCAAAGTAGACTTCTAACTTCTGTTTGTCCTGGCCCAGCTTCCCGTGGCCCCGGCTCAGGAGGGAGAGCGTGAACATGTTAAACTCTGACCACCCCTTCTCAAGGGCAGTTCATCTTGGTTTTAAAGGCTGAAATCTGGTCACACCTCAAGATTTCCAGAGCTCACAGCAAGCCCAAGAAGACCACAAACACTGGACCTTTTATGAAATACATTTTTCCTTCTCGCAGCAGCTTCTTAGTAACAACCAGCCACACAGATTAGACACTGCGTGTCTTTGTGGAGCAAAAAAATAAACCACATAGCCAGACTCCTCAAGCCCTGGATTTTCTACACTCTGGGCAACCTGTCTCTTCCTTCACCTGAGCTCTTGTTGTCCCTGGGTCCCAGTTGCTCTGTTACCAGCCCTGTGCATCTACGAATCTCGGCCACAGCACCATCCTGCTCCTCTGAGCGGAGGTTGTTTCCTGGTTGCTATGGCAGCACAGGGAAATGAAGTCCCTTTGACTAACTCAGGCAAGGCAGAGACGGGTGCCGGGTGCAGTGTGCATTCGCCGGGGATGGGGGTGGGGGTCAAATGGACACTGAAGGGACCAGGCTCAGGTTGCAAGTCCCGGTTGCACGGGGTGGGGGCCGTGTTGGGGTACTTTTTCTGTTATTGTTCTCATCTTGCTTTTAGAGAGCATCTTCCCCTCTCTCCTGATATGTGAGCCTCTTGCTGTCAACTAACCATTAACAGCGCCAGGGTGTCATCTAGGTCACCTGAAACCACCTGTGACTTTTTCCTTGCTGAGAGCTCCAGCATCCCCTGGATGGGGAGGTTTGACCTGCTCCGTTTCCGACCTGGGCCAGTTTACCCCTCCTTAGGCAACCTGGTGGCCCCCAGCTCCGGGGAGGTCACCATATTGATGCCGAACTTAGTGCGGACACCCCATCGGCATAGCGCACTGCAGCCCAGAACTCCTGGACTCAAGCGATCCTCCAGCCTCAGACTCCCGAGTGGCTGGGACTACAGGCACGCGCCACCGCGCCAGGCGCTCAGGTCTCTTTGACAGTGACATTGTGACGAGCACAGGACAGGAGGGAAGAGGTTCAGGAAACAAAAAGACTCCTTTGCTGGGGATCTAGGGACCTGCTCAAGCCTGGGCAAGCAAGCTGCCTTTCAGCGTTCAGCCGAACTACCCTGGCCGTCTTGTGGAAGTGCCCCCTGCTGGCCACTGTGAAGAAGCACAACAGGCTACCAGCCCACTTAGCTTTTTGATCTTCCTACGTGGCACCTTCCACTCCCCCTCCGACCTTCCCCACTTCCAACTAAGCTCAAGTCTCCTGAGAAGGAAATAGAGGTTATGTTGTAAAATAAGATAGGGTTTATTATGAGGAATCAAGACAGTGAATGAGTGAATGCAGAGGCTCCAAACTGAATATAATCAAAACCACAATGAGATACCACTTCACACCTACTAAGATGGCTATTATTAAAAACAAAACAAAAGAAACAAAAACAAAAAACAGAAAATAACAAGTATTGGTGAGGAATATGGGGAAATCGAAAACCTTGTGCATTGCTGTTGGAAATGCAAAATGACATAGACTCTGTAGAAAATGGTATGGCAGTTTCTAAGAAAATTAAACAGAATTACTGTACCATCCAGTAATTCCACTTCTGGGTCTATGTACCCGAAGGAAGTGAAAGCAGGGTCTCAAAGGGATATTTGTATACTCATATATAGAGCAAAATTGTTTATAAGTGCCAAAAGGTGGAAGTAACCCATGTCTATCGACAGATGAATGAATCAAAAAAATGTAGCAGATGGATACAGGGCAGTATTATTCAGCCTTAAAAAGGAAGGAAATTCAGACACAGGCTACAACATGCATAAACTTTGAAGACATTACACTAAACAAAATAAACCAATCATGAAACAACAAACATTGTATGATTTCACTTGTGCGAGGTACTTATGTGAGTGGTCAGATTCATAGAGACAGAAAGTAGGTGGTGATTGCCAGGGCTGGCGGGGATACGAGAATGGAACATCCGTGTGTAATGGGCACAGAAGTTCTGTATGAGGAGATGAAAAGTTTCTGGAGATGGATTCACAACAATATGAATGTACTTAACGTCAGTGAACCGTAAACTTAAAAATGTTAAAATGGTAAATTTGAGCCAGTGCAGGTGGCACACACCTATAATCCCAGCTATTCTGGAGGCTGAGGCAGGAAGATCCCTTGGGCTCAGGAGTTTGTGATCAGCCTGACCATCATTGTGAGACTTCATCTCTAAAATGAAAGTAAATTTATATTACATATATTTTACCACAATTAAAACTTTTTTCGGCTGGTTGTGGTGGCTCACACCTGGAATCCCAGCACTTTGGGAGGCCAAGGCAGGCAGATCACTTGAGGTCAGGAGTTCAAGACCATCCTGCCCAACATGGTGAAACTTTGTCTCTATTAAAAACACAAAAATTAACCAGGCGTGATGGCATGCACCTGTAACCTCAACTGCTTGGGAGGCTGAGGCACAATAATTGCTTGAACCTGGGAGGCGGAGTTTGCAGAGAGCCGAGATGGCGCCGCTACACTCCGGCCTGGGCAATAGAATGAGACTCGGTCTCAAAAAAACACGTTTTTTAAAAATATTGTACAGCAAAAAAGAAAAAAGAAAACACTGAATTCAGCACTTCATAATCTGAAAGCCGATTGGTCAGCATTATCATGGAGTGACCTTCTCACGGCAGGTGAGACAAAATTTGAGAAACCCAGGGTTCCAAATAGTTTCTGGGGTCTTAGCCTCCAGTTGCTCCCTCCCTTCCCCTTCCCTATCCCTTTGAAGTGCAAAAAGGGCCCTTAAACAAAACTTTGTCCAGAGATTACTATATCCCAGACATGATCCCTGGACTCAAGGTGGTGCTGATACCTGAAATATGATGTGACAGTTGTGTTAACGGAGGTCGAGTGAAGTAGGTGCTCTAGGAAGAGAGGTGAAGGTGTGTGCATGGGGGAGGTGGGGAATGGATGGTGGCAGGCACTGTGGAAGGCCACCAAGATGAGGAAGCTTAGAGGTGGGCTTTGGAAAACAGCAGTTTGCTAAGAAGATGTAAGAAGATGGTGAGGAGGGAAGATCAAAGAGGATATTGTGGGAGGCAGGGACAAGGAAGTTTGAGGTCTCTGGGGAAAAGGTGACTTCTCTGTTGTGATCAAAACTGCAAGTCAGCTGGGAGCAGTGGCTCACACCTATAATCCCAGCACTTTGGGAGGCTGAGGCGGGTGGATTACCTGAGGTCAGGAGTTCGAGACTAGCCTGGCCAACATGGTGAGACCCGCCCCCCACCATCTCTATTAAAAATACCAAATTAGCTGGTTATGGTGCATGCCTGTAACCCCAGCTACTCAGGAGGCAAGGCTGGAGAATTGCTTAAGCCTAGGAGGCAGAAGTTGCAGTGAGCTGAGATTGTGCCATTGCATTCCAGCCTGGGCGACAAAAGTGAAACTTCATCTCAAAACAAAAACAAAAACAAAAACAAAAAAACTGGGCTCAGTGTGGTAGCTCATGCCTGTAATCCCAGCACTTTGGGAGGCCACGGTGGGCGGATCACAAGGTCAGGAGTTTGAGACCAGCCTGGCCAATATGGTGAAACCCCGTTTCTACTAAAAATACAAAAATTGGCCAGCTGTGATGGTGGGTGCCTGTAGTCCCTGCAACTCGGGAGGCTGAGGCAGGAGCATCACTTGAACTTGGGAGGCGGAGGTTGTAGTGAGCCGAGATTGTGCCATTGCTCTCTAGCCTGGGTGACAGAGACTCCGTCTTGAAAGAAAGCAAAGAAAAAAGCAAAACTGCATGTGGACAGAGGTGCAAGGGCAGAGGTCAGCTGGCCAAGGCCATGAGGGCTACATGCACCCTGCTGAAGCATTTTGGATTTTATTCTTCAGGTAGGTTTTTTGTTGTGGTGTTGTTTTGTTTTTTAGAGGCAGGGTCTCACTATGTTGCCCAGGATGGTTTCAAACTTCTGGTCTCAAACGGTCCTCTTGCCTCAGCTTCCCAAATAGAAACCACTTGAAACAGAAAATAGACGCTAGTTAATGGCCACTTCCCTGGCACATTCAGGAATGCATCCCTTGTTTCAAAGTTCTTGGAGTGAATGAATGTCACTCTGGAGAAGCGGCCTATGTGATACTGTCAGAACCTTTATCCCTCTTTAAAGGGGAGTGTAATAGTGTTTTCTAGTATTGTATTCATCTTTAGGGGAAATCTATAAAGAGACTCCTTGGTGTTGCCCTTGTTACCTTGGGATTACAGGTGTGAGTCATTTACATCCCCAGGTAGGTTATTAAAGTGCTGGGGGTGGGAGGTGGGGGGGGGATATGATTCCATCTGGGTTTTAGAAAGATAACTCTGAGGCACTTACAAAGGATGAATAGAAGGAGGAATCCTTATCTCATCAACCTCTGGGTGAACTTTCAAGACTTGCGACCCAGGCCAGTCTTCTCTTGGATATGAATGAACTTGTCAAATAGGTCAGGAAAATCACCAGCTAGGTGGTCTTTGAGTAAGAAAGAAGGGGAAACTCTATACCAGCTGCAAAGAAAGATAAATCTTGCCATTTTGAAAATGCCATTCCTCAAGCAAGAGAAAAGTAGCACCAGAGGAACTTAATGGAGCTCTTGGGACCTGAATGAGAACCACTATCGTTAGCTGAGGGATGATTCCAAGTTTCTCCAGTGGAAATTCTTTCTCTGAACTCACCTGACTTTGAAATGCTAACTGATCCATACATAGTGAACCAGGGCCCCAAGACGTGCTCTTTCTGAGTCTAGGTTGGGAGAGCATCTCACCTAGGAAAATGCCCAGGCGTCCATCTGGCCCTCCCAAGGCTGTGACAAGGCTTCCAGGTCTCTGTGGGGCTGCCGCAGGAATCTGTAAGCAGCCAGACCGCAGCCGAAAGTGGGCCTCTCCTAAACCAGTGTGTTTACATCTATGCTGTTTAATATGGACAATGAACAGATCCACAGATCAATTAATAGTCATTTAAAAGCATTTACTCAGTCCTGACAACAGTTTATAGAAAGTGCATTTAGAAAGCAATCCGGGTTATTGCTATTCTAAAGAGCTTGGGGATCCCAGATGAAAGGGCCTTGTAACTGGAAAGTATTTATAACTCAAGAAGAACCCTCCACACCCATGTTATACAACACCAACACCATCTCCTGGCACGCCTGACCTGTCAGCCCATGCAGCATGTCTGTTTGAATTACACTGTAACTTCTATAGGGTGGAGACCTTGTTTTTATGGTTTGTAAAGCATCATGAATAACCATGGCACTCTGTAAATAAATAGAAACCACATGAAACAAAAAATAGATGTATTTCAATGGCCACCTCCCCAGCACATTCAGGAATGTATCCCTTGTTCTAAAGTACTCAGAGTGAATGGAGTCCTAGGAGTCCATCTGGCCCTCCCAAGGCTGTTTGCATAATAATATGAGATGCATAATTGTCTTTGA